CTACTACCTTGCATACAGTATCCATTAATTTTGTTCGTTTTGTACAACTATTTGGAATATAGCTCATGCTTGAAATTAGAATCATGGAATAAAAGATGTTTTCTTAATTTTTACCTAAGGATGCATTTTCAATTAATTTGCACTATGACCTTCAAAATGTTCATTGTATATTTAGAAGACCTGAAGGATAATAGATACAGTCAAGGATGGATATGGGGGGGGCGACCGCACCCCCAAAAATTTGAAAAACATCATATATTATATTAGAAAATTTAAAATTATAATATTTCCGCACCCCTGTAGTGATAATCCCGAATTCGTCCTGGATACAGTCCATTGATACCTTACATACTATGTCTGAACATTTTGGCAGAGGTATAGCGAAGGAACACTATTTTGGTTTCATTTTATGTAGGAAAAGGGAGATCTACTCTGGGAATACAATGTTGGAGTTCCAATTACTTCATCTGCTTATGTTGATGAAAACTTACAGTTGGTATCTACCTCCTCTCTTATTTCAGATAGGTATGTAAACTATACTAAATTGATTGGATTATTTTAATATTCTTTTTATTTTGGTGACAATAACCACTCTCTCTTTCAGGTTAATTTGTGTCTGTGCAAGTTCTGGAAGTATATATTTGCTTCGTATTCCCTCGGATTGTGCTGGAGAACTAAACAGTGTGAGGAAAGATGTGGTACAGGAATTTGCTAGGCTGGACCTCCAAGGAGACATTTTTTCTTCTCCAGTGATGATTGGTGGCCGGATTTTTGTCGGTTGCAGGGATGATTATGTGCACTGCCTGGGGTTGGAGACCTGAATTTCAATGGAAGTATAAAGAAGTTGAGGACCTCTGATATCTTCCCTCCATATTTTGCTACTTTGATTCCATGAATTTGAATTCAAATTCAACTTTGGCCTGCAATTCCACACCTAAAGCGCTCATAAATTTCAGTGGTAGTGTGCTGCGTTGCCATGGACTCTGTACTACAAAATGTTGCCATGCCAATTCAAACTGAGTAATTTCTTGAAAAAGTTTCAGATGAGTTCACAACATTGGCGAGTCTAGAGTCATTCAAAGCTACATGTTTACTGTTGTACCAGCTGTGACTACAATGCCCATGTGGATTGTGTGATTTCTGGCCATAAAGATGGCATTTGGAGACACGGGATGAAAGATGAGGCCTGAAAATTCTAGCAGCACCCAACACCATTTGAATTGCTCATTCAAGGACTCCCAAGCTTGTTATGGCAGTTGCAACTAGAGTTGTTTAAAATATCGCCAAATCTGCTAAAATCGCATTGATCTACATTAATCTGTACGCTCTAACTATTAACCGCGGTTTAAACTTTAAAATTTATAATTTGCCAACCAAACCACTCTGCTCTACTATAGTTAATATATATATATTTTTTAACGTCTAATGAAATATCAATGTAAAAATGAGTATGAGAGAGATTTAAAATATGAAATTTATTACAAATTAGCGGTTATATATATGAAACATATTATGTAAAATTATTTTGTATTATATATCTAAAAAATATTATACAAATTAGTGTTATATATTATGCAAATGTATGATAATTAGTTAAAATATTTTTCAATCCGTTAATCTGTCAAAAACCGTCCAAAACGCAATTTGTTAATCCGCTAACCCGTCATTTGGTTTGTAATTTCTCTCAAACCGTTCAAACCGCAACATGCACACCTTAGTTGCAACAATCATCTTATGGCCTCGTTTGGGAGGTTGGCTATTTTAGTTTTTGACTATTTTAGTAGGTTAAAATATTTGTGTTTGGAAAGAGTTGGATTTTTTTGTAATTATATGTGATTTTGTAAGAAAAAAAAAAAAGAAATGATTGAGTTTGATGTGATATTTTATGTTATTAAATATTTTAACATATTTTATTATTTTATAGATTTTAGGCCCCCAAAAAATAAATAAATAAATAAAATCCTTTCCCAAACACCCCATATTTTTGCTCAATGTGACTGTTTCGTCAAATCGTGCAGGGTTTGTTTTGCAGATAAAACTACATTTCTTGTAAGACTCTCACCCTAGTTCTGTGGTTATCCTTTGACCAGACATTTTTCCCTTCCGTTTTTTTTCATTGGCACTGATGTATAGAGATTTGTCAGTATAATATAACCTTCGTTGATATGAGCCATTTGTCTAATTTGTGTAAACTTTCCAAACCATTCTCTCTCTCTCAGAGTTGTGGAGACATGATTGGTATGCACTGCATGCTCACTGAATTATTATGCAAGGGATTAACATGCAAACAATACACTTTTGAGCTTTATGTCGTTTTACTGTGTCTGTTGTGTACTTTCAGACTTGGGACAAGCAAAATGCCCCAATTTGATTTCTGTTGGTGCGAGCAACTTGTGTCAACACTAATCCACTGTTGCAGCCAAATCACGACCCTTTCTTAAGAAATGCTCTTTGATATTCCTCCCATAATGGAACTGGAAACACTTTTACTGACAAAATACGCAAAGGACAAACTTATCATGAATTGTCCTTGCGACCTTAAGGTTGGACTTAACAACTAGAAAGTACTGTGTGTGCCTTTACAACCAACAAAAATCAAATTTTGATTATTCACGAAGAAAACATTAGACAATGTGAGCTTTTGGCCAAATTTCACTTAAAATATTTCATTTTTGTTTTTTTCTTTTTTTTGCGGTGGAGGGATAAAAATTAACTCATGTGATGTGGTCCATCCAATGCTTATATAGAAATAGAATTAAGATAATAAAATAATACTTTACAATACAACTTGTCAAGTTGCCCTTGCGTACATGCATCAGATGAGTTTTGAACCATACAAGTGACTAATTTTCATTGGACCAAATTAGTGATTTAAGCTCATTGGACAAAATAAGTGGCAAATTAGCATATATAAAGGGATACAATCTTCAACTCCCAGGAAGGGATGCCTAAACTATTATATTTACTTATTCAGCTTCATTTAGATATATGCTATCTAACCTGATTGTTGGAGTGCTCTTTGACTGGCAACCGTCAGGGGCACTAATTGTTGAATTTTTATTTATTTATTTATTTATTATTTTTTATTTTTTTGCAAATTCAGAATGGCGGAGCTCAATTCTTTGTTAACTTCTCAATTAATATATGTGAGACAATTTTTGCCTTCACAATTGAGATTAACTGAGAAAATAACAAGATATCATTCTGAATTTCTGTCGATTATCAATATAAAGCAAAATGATCATGGACACAGTATAAAAAGCATAGCCGAGCTGAAGGCCTCTTCTCTCCTACACTGAGCTAATATTTGCATGCATTTATATATCTATCTCATAAAAAGCTTTATGACTTCTTTGGCTCAAAAATAATATATTGTTGTTAGACCCATGACTTGGTTTCCACACACACACTCTCTCTCTCTCTCTCTCTCTAGAAGTATTCTCAGCTTAAAAAAAAATGACAAAGTTAGATCATGAAAAAATTAATAGCTTGTGGTAATGCTTTGATTGGCTATGTATGAGGCTAGAATATATATATATATATATAAAACTCGATAAATTGGGCAACTTTAATTAGCATGGGTGGACCATGAAGATGTGAATTTTATTGAAGTATTTTGCATGAAGATACCTTGATACACCATGATTGGAGAAATTATAGAATATTTCCGAAATACTATGTGTCTATACTTCTTAACTAATTATTATTCAATATACTCCATCATGCTCTTCAATCACTCAATATAATATCTCACCTATGCACTTTCTCCACCAATCATAATACTTTAAAATATCACATGACTTTGCAATTACTGAATAATTACCCCATAATTGGGTTAATATCAAGAGAAAAGGACAAGTCAACCAATTGTTTCGGTAAGCCAAAAACCATAGTGTCAAGACCCAAACGGCAACCTTGCCGAAGTGATGCTCAGCCTAAAGAAGTTATTAATTTGTTCCGCGATACCACTCTCTCCACTGAAGTTGTTCGGCAATACCATTATCTTCTTGGAGGCACCGACACATTGTAAAAAGATCATTTTGGCAAAGAGCATCAATGCCTCCTGCAACAAATAGCCGAATGGCCAAGTCCACTCTCACCATTGCCCCAAAACAAGGGCTGTCGAACATTCCGGTCATCGCCGAACAAGCACAAGCTTAATTTGAAAATGGGCAATCAGGTCATACATGACTCTAATGAAAACACACACACACATATTTCAATTGAAAATGTAGAAATCACTTGCTGGAAAGCACTGAGAGATGTCGATCAAACTCTTGGCAAAGCTGAAGACCAAAGATGTGTTGTAGAAATATACCTACATTCATATGTTTTTTCTTTCTTTATTTATGTAAATGCACACCATTTTTGCATGTGTGGCTTTCATTTGTATACTATTTTTGTTGGCAACAGTATTGCAAGTGCAGAGAAGTTTTCTTGGCGAAGCCAAACAGCCAAGAAGAGTTACCGATCAAGTGTTTTCTGTAAACAAAGAGCCAAGAGCAGTTAATGGTGCGCTCGGTCAAAATCTTGATAGTTGGTGTCACGTCAATCGAAATTGACGGAACAGAGCAACAAAAATAATATTTATATGCATTTCTGCATGTTTGGACTTATAAATTAAAAATTGACATGTATTACTATTCTTGATATAACCGATGAATTATATAATCAACGGTTTTCGAACCTATCTTAGTTTTTTTAGTATTAAGAATAGCCATTATAGCTAAATACTCCCACACTTTTTAAGTATCTGTAGGATGGTACTTTTTCATGTCACATTTCATAAAATGTTTGATTCACTTTCTTTCGAGTATTTTATTGAGAATACAATTACTAGAAATTCTGAACTAATCCAAAACTTATTAACCTGGTAGTTATCATTTCTCTTAAAGTTTTATTTTTTCTTTCAACAATACTATTTTGCTGAGGTGAGTAAGAAGTGGCGGTTTGATGATAAGGATGCATTTTCAATTAATTTGCACTACGACCTTCAAAATGTTCATTGTATATTTAGAAGACATGAAGGATAATAGATACAGTCAAGGATGGATATGGGGGGGGGCGACCGCACCCCCAAAAATTTGAAAAACATCATATATTATATTAGCAAATTTAAAATTATAATATTTCCGCACCCCTGTAGTGATAATCCCGAATTCGTCCTGGATACAGTCCATTGATACCTTACATATGATGTCTGAACATTTGGGCAGAGGTATAGCGAAGGAACACTATTTTGGTTTCATTTTATGTAGGAAAAGGGAGATCTACTCTGGGAATACAATGTTGGAGTTCCAATTACTTCATCTGCTTATGTTGATGAAAACTTACAGTTGGTATCTACCTCCTCTCTTATTTCAGATAGGTATGTAAACTATACTAAATTGATTGGATTATTTTAATATTCTTTTTATTTTGGTGACAATAACCACTCTCTCTTTCAGGTTAATTTGTGTCTGTGCAAGTTCTGGAAGTATATATTTGCTTCGTTTTTCCTCGGATTGTGTTGGAGAACTAAACAGTGTGAGGAAAGATGTGGTACAGGAATTTGCTAGGCTGGACCTCCAAGGAGACATTTTTTCTTCTCCAGTGATGATTGGTGGCCGGATTTTTGTCGGTTGCAGGGATGATTATGTGCACTGCCTGGGGTTGGAGACCTGAATTTCAATGGAAGTATAAAGAAGTTGAGGACCTCTGATATCTTCCCTCCATATTTTGCTACTTTGATTCCATGAATTTGAATTCAAATTCAACTTTGGCCTGCAATTCCACACCTAAAGCGCTCATAAATTTCAGTGGTAGTGTGCTGCGTTGCCATGGACTCTGTACTACAAAATGTTGCCATGCCAATTCAAACTGAGTAATTTCTTGAAAAAGTTTCAGATGAGTTCACAACATTGGCGAGTCTAGAGTCATTCAAAGCTACATGTTTACTGTTGTACCAGCTGTGACTACAATGCCCATGTGGATTGTGTGATTTCTGGCCATAAAGATGGCATTTGGAGACACGGGATGAAAGATGGGGCCTGAAAATTCTAGCAGCACCCAACACCATTTGAACTGCTCATTCAAGGACTCCCAAGCTTGTTATGGCAGTTGCAACTAGAGTTGTTTAAAATATCGCCAAATCTGCTAAAATCGCATTGATCTACATTAATCTGTACGCTCTAACTATTAACCGCGGTTTAAACTTTAAAATTTATAATTTGCCAACCAAACCACTCTGCTCTACTATAGTTAATATATATATATTTTTTAACGTCTAATGAAATATCAATGTAAAAATGAGTATGAGAGAGATTTAAAATATGAAATTTATTACAAATTAGCGGTTATATATATGAAACATATTATGTAAAATTATTTTGTATTATATATCTAAAAAATATTATACAAATTAGTGTTATATATTATGCAAATGTATGATAATTAGTTAAAATATTTTTCAATCCGTTAATCTGTCAAAAACCGTCCAAAACGCAATTTGTTAATCCGCTAACCCGTCATTTGGTTTGTAATTTCTCTCAAACCGTTCAAACCGCAACATGCACACCTTAGTTGCAACAATCATCTTATGGCCTCGTTTGGGAGGTTGGCTATTTTAGTAGGTTAAAACATTTGTGTTTGGAAAGAGTTGGATTTTTTTGTAATTATATGTGATTTTGTAAGAAAAAAAAAGAAGAAATGATTGAGTTTGATGTGATATTTTATCTTATTAAATATTTTAACATATTTTATCTTTTAAGGAATTATTTTAATCCAATTTTCTGTTCAAATAAGGCCATTGTGATCACTATACTGTTGTTATCTCAGTTGTGTCATTCACACACACATACCATAAAAACAAATAAATAATTAATATTTAAAATCCTTTCCCAAACACCCCATATTTTTGCTCAATGTGACTGTTTAGTCAAATCGTGCAGGGTTTGTTTTGCAGATAAAACTACATTTCTTGTAAGACTCTCACCCTAGTTCTGTGGTTATCCTTTGACCAGACATTTTTCCCTTCCGTTTTTTTTCATTGGCACTGGTGTATAGAGATTTGTCAGTATAATATAACCTTCGTTGATATGAGCCATTTGTCTAATTTGTGTAAACTTTCCAAACCATTCTCTCTCTCTCAGAGTTGTGGAGACATGATTGGTATGCACTGCATGCTCACTGAATTATTATGCAAGGGATTAACATGCAAACAATACACTTTTGAGCTTTATGTCGTTTTACTGTGTCTGTTGTGTACTTTCAAACTTGGGAGAACCAAAATCCCCCAACTTGATTTCTGTTGGTGCGAGCAACTTGTGTCAACACTAATCCACTGTTGCAGCCAAATCACGACCCTTTCTTAAGAAATGCTCTTTGATATTCCTCCCATAATGGAACTGGAAACACTTTTACTGACAAAATACGCAAAGGACAAACTTATCATGAATTGTCCTTGCGACCTTAAGGTTGGACTTAACAACTAGAAAGTACTGTGTGTGCCTTTACAACCAACAAAAATCAAATTTTGATTATTCACGAAGAAAACATTAGACAATGTGAGCTTTTGGCCAATTTTCACTTAAAATATTTCATTTTTGTTTTTTTCTTTTTTTTGCGGTGGAGGGATAAAAATTAACTCATGTGATGTGGTCCATCCAATGCTTATATAGAAATAGAATTAAGATAATAAAATAATACTTTACAATACAACTTGCCAAGTTGCCCTAGCGTACATGCATCAGATGAGTTTTGAACCATACAAGTGACTAATTTTCATTGGACCAAATTAGTGATTTAAGCTCATTGGACAAAATAAGTGGCAAATTAGCATATATAAAGGGATACAATCTTCAACTCTTAGGAAGGGATGCCTAAACTATTATATTTACTTATTCAGCTTCATTTAGATATATGCTATCTAACCTGATTGTTGGAGTGCTCTCTAACCGGCAACCGTCGGGGGCACTAATTGTTGAATTTTTATTTATTTATTTATTTATTATTTATTATTTTTATTTTTTTTGCAGATTCAGAATGGTGGAGCTCAATTCTTTGTTAACTTCTCAATTAATATATGTGAGACAATTTTTGCCTTCACAATTGAGATTAACTGAGAAAATAACAAGATATCATTCTGAATTTCTGTCGATTATCAATATAAAGCAAAATGATCATGGACACGGTATAAAAAGCATAGCCGAGCTGAAGGCCTTTTCTCTCCTACACTGAGCTAATATTTGCATGCATTTATATATCTATCTCATAAAAAGCTTTATGACTTCTTTGGCTCAAAAATAATAGAGTTATGCTAGGGATCCCAAACAAATTACCAAATTTTCTACCAAATCTCTCACATGGGTGTGGGACCCACACACATTTGATTTGTGTGGATCCCACACCCATGTGAGAGGTTTGGTAGAAAATTTGGTAATTTGTTTGGGGTCCATAGCATTTTCCAAAATAATATATTGTTGTTAGACCCATGACTTGGTTTCCACACTCTCTCTCTCTCTCTCTCTCTCTCTCGAAGTATTCTCAGCTTAAAAAAAAATGACAAAGTTAGATCATGAAAAAATTAATAGCTTGTTGTAATGCTTTGATTGGCTATGTATGAGGCTAGAATATATATATATATATATACAAAACTCGATAAATTGGGCAACTTTAATTAGCATGGGTGGACCATGAAGATGTGAATTTTATTGAAGTATTTTGCATGAAGATACCTTGATACACCATGATTGGAAAAATTATAGAATATTTCTGAAATACTATGTGTCTATACTTCTTAATTAATTATTATTCAATATACTCTTTAATCACTCAATATAATATCTCACCTATGCACATTCTCCACCATTCATAATACTTTAAAATATCACATGTCTATACTTTGCAATTACTGAATAATTACCCCATAATTGGGTTAATATCAAGAGAAAAGGACAAGTCAACCAATTGTTTCGGTAAGCCAAAAACCAGAGTGTCAAGACCCAAACGGCAACCTTGCGAAGTGATGCTCAGCCTAAAGAAGTTGTTAATTTGTTCCGCGATGCCACTCTCTCCACTGAAGTTGTTCGGCAATACCATTATCTTCTTGGAGGCACCGACACATTGTAAAAAGATCATTTTGGCAAAGAGCATCAATGCCTCCTGCAACAAATAGCCGAATGGCCAAGTTGCCACTCACCATTGCCCCAAAACAAGGGCTGTCGAACATTCCGGTCATCGCCAAACAAGCACAAGCTTAATTTGAAAATGGGCAATCAGGTCATACATGACTCTAATGAAAACACACACACACATATTTCAATTGAAAATGTAGAAATCACTTGCTGGAAAGCACTGAGAGATGTCGATCAAACTCTTGGCAAAGCTGAAGACCAAAGATGTGTTGTAGAAATATACCTACATTCATATGTTTTTTCTTTCTTTATTTATGTAAATGCACACCATTTTTGCATGTGTGGCTTTCATTTGTATACTATTTTTGTTGGCAACAGTATTGCAAGTGCAGAGAAGTTTTCTTGGCGAAGCCAAACAGCCAAGAAGAGTTACCGATCAAGTGTTTTCTGTAAACAAAGAGCCAAGAGCAGTTAATGGTGCGCTCGGTCGAAATCTTGATAGTTGGTGTCGCGTCAATCGGAATTGACGGAACAGAGCAACAAAAATAATATTTATATGCATTTCTGCATGTTTGGACTTATAAATTAAAAATTGACATGTATTACTATTCTTGATATAACCGATGAATTATATAATCAACGGTTTTCGAACCTATCTTAGTTTTTTTAGTATTAAGAATAGCCATTATAGCTAAATACTCCCACACTTTTTAAGTATCTGTAGGATGGTACTTTTTCATGTCACATTTCATAAAATGTTTGATTCACTTTCTTTCAGGTATTTTATTGAGAATATAATTACTAGAAAATAATGCTTCCTCCTACAAATTCTGAACTAATCCAAAACTTATTAACCTGCTATTTATCATTTCTTTTAAAGTCTTATTTTTTCTTTCAACAATACTATTTTGCTGAGGTGAGTAAGAAGTGGCGGTTTGATGAATTATTACATGTTTTTTACAAAAATCACCAAAAGGTGATTCATATTTACCACCTCTATCACTTCTTAGAATTTTAATTTTCTTACCAAGTTGATTTTCAATTTCATTCTCATATTGAATGAAAGTTTTCAAAGTTTCATTCTTAGTTCGAATATCTAGTATAGTCATTTATGAAAGTGATAAAATATATTTTTTTTCCATCTCTAGTTTGAATTGATTTAAAATCACAAATCTCACTATGAATTAATTTAAGTGGTTTTGTATTTCTTTCAATTGGATGAAAATGAATTTTTGTTAATTTTGCCTCAATACAAATTTACATTTATGATTTAGATCAATTTCATATTTAGATAAACATTGCACATTAATTAATCTATGCAAAGATCCATAATTAACATATCCTACTCATGCAAGTAAAAAAAAAATGTATTTTTATTAATAATAGAAAGTACAACAGTCATCACATTCATTTTAAAAAAGCCATTAGTCATGTAACATTTTCTTACATACATTCTGTTTTGGTAAATATAACTTTGTTACTCTAAAAAACTAGCCTAAACCCAGTTTTGCTCAATAGAGATCTGGAGACAAGATTCTTACGAATGTTCGGCACATGCAGCACATTGTTGAGTGCGAATTCCTTCCAGACGTCATCTTTAAAATAACCTATCATTGTCCTTCAACTTTAGAAGTCGAGGAGTTGCCCATGAACAGTTGTTTTCCATTGTCCACCACAAAATAGGAGGATAACATCTTTTTGTCAGCATAGATGTGACGAGTGGCTCCAGTGTCCACCCATCATTCTTTGAGATTTCCAACAAGGTTAGCCATGGAGATAACAGCTAAAAGGTTTATGTCATCAACACCAGTGGAGATTCTGTCCGCTTCGGTGACATTGGCTTAAGCAGGTTTCTTACTTGAACTTCATTTACTTTTGCGCTTACTACGACAATTTTTGGCCCGATGTCTCTCTTTGTCATAGATGTAGCATTTGCCATTAAACTTAAACTTCTTTGTGTCCTCTCCCTTAGAGCCTTGTGAGGAACTTTCTCTGGCAAATTTGCATTTCTTCGCTTTTTGTGCATGT